CGCCCGGCCCGTGCGCGCGACTAGGGGGAGGGAGGAGGCGACAATCACGTGGGACAGGGGCGTCCGGAGGTGCCGGCTAGGTTGGGCTCCTCTCGGCCGCTGCCCAGCCGCTCGGGCCTCCCCAGCCTCGCTCCCCTCCAGCCCCTGAGAGGCGCTGCCCTGCCCCCGGCGAGGCCAGCCCACGCTCTCGCTCACCCCGCCCGCTCCGCTGAGGACCCGGAGATCCGAGCTTAACGCCCAGTGTAAGCCGGAAAGGAGGAAGGGCTTTGGCGATGGATGGATGGGTGGGTGGGTAGATGGATGGATGGTTGAGACTCCGTGCAGCTGGCAGGTTTCATCACGTGCCTGACGACTCCGCTGACAGTACTAGGGAAGCAGATGACTGATTATTGTTATGCTTAACTAACGGAGGCCAGCTATTGAGATATCCTAAAACTGGAAGGAACGTCCAGGACCAGAGGGATCATTGGGCAACTCCCGCCCCCACCCCACCCCCGCAGTTTGCCTGAGGCTTTCACAGTTTCCTCCTAAGTTGGAGAAATGGGAAAGAATTTGGAGATGCCAGCCTGGGGTGGAAAATCTTAAAATGTGTGATATTGGAGGAATATTCCTAATGCCTCTGGCTTTTTTCAACAGAGTGGAACTTTTCTCTTGCCCACCGTCACCCTCTAGCAATATTCACAGAGAGTCTGGTATTACTGATTCTCCCCCATCCCACATTATGATTCAGAATGCTGCCACTAATTCTGTAAGGACGTCGAGGAAGCTATGAAAGAGGAAGGTCACTTTTGCCTGGGTACTATTAGAGAAACACTTGAATCCAGGTTTCAGGGGCAAAGTCTGGAAGTTATAAATACCTGAGATAGTTATCATCTGTCTGCTAGACCAGGTGTAGGGAAAGTGAGGGAGAGAGAAGATAATTAATTAAGCATGCGCCTTCTTAGCCCCTTTGTCCAAGCAGAGAAGATCTAACACCAGATCAGGACTACTCTTCAAATGCATCACCATGTGTGTACAGTGCATTTCCTCAGGCCCTGTCACTTGTCACTCAAAGGAACAAATGTTTTTCTAACCATCCCCTGTTCTAAGTACTCCAGGATGAAGATTATTATCCCAAATGACTTCGACCACTCCGACCCCTTGCCCGCTCTTCCCCAATTCCCCATATCTTTCAGGTGTCCAGCGAAACTCCCTGTTTTCAATTCTCTGAATATTTTCTTAACATTCTTGCCCTGGCTAAAACCTGCTTTTTGCCCTTCAGCCCCTTTGTTCAAACTATTCTTGGAAAGTTGATGTAGTTCACACTAATAAATTTGGAGAGAATAATTGGGCATGTTCACTAGGCTTTCCCATTTTCATCCCAAAAGGAACTGCCTAAAGGATTGTTGATGGTCAGTGACATTGCCAGGCAAAGGTTAAGAAAGAGGATTCAAGCAGTAGCATATTTCACCATTTTTCTACTATTATCATTAAACCTCATTATACACCTCATAATTTGTGTCACTGTATATTGGGAAAATTATGTTCATGGCCTTAACATTTCAAAGACACTAATTTTTTAAATATAAATGGAAGGAATCAGACTAGATTTCTCAAAAACCATCTTAAGACTTTATTATATTCTCTTGTGTTTTCTACCCATTTAATAGAAAAATTTATACTTGAAAATAAGAAAAAAGGCATAAATATTATAGAGGGATTTTTTTCCTTTTTGATCTGTTTCTTGCTTTGAAAATGTGCAAATATGATGCAATTCTCAACCATTATCATCCAAAACTCTATTTCATTATTTTCCTCGTGAACTCTATATTCTATAATATTTTATTAGACAAATTATTTTCATGCCAAATAAAACATTTGAGTAGCATTTAAAGACCAGTGACCCAAAGTAACTTAATCCCAGTCCCCAAAAAACACATTTAAAGACTTTATTTCTAAGTTCAGCAGTTTTACCTTGGGAAAAAATAAATCGTATTTGTGTTTTTGAAATATAGGAAATAGTATCTTTTTAAAAAAAAGAGAGTGAGAGAGGAGAGAGAGAATTTTTTTTAATATTTATTATTTTTTAGTTGGCGGACACAACATCTTTGTTGGTATGTGGTGCTGAGGATCGAACCCAGGCCGCACACATGCCAGGCGAGTGCGCTACCGCTTGAGCCACATCCCCAGCCCAATAGTATCTTTTTTTTTGCAAATCATTAGGAATATAGGCATTTCAAGTTATGACCTACTGGAGTAGATTTGCTTTTTCCCTCCTTCTTTCATTCATTAGATACTTACTTATTTTTTGTGCATGAAGTACTCTTCTATTTCTATAAAGTACATTAATAAATGTCATGAGTGACTTTTGTCTTCAAAGAGTCTCCCATGTAGTTCAGAAGATAAAGTTATCTTCTTATCACAACTCACATTAGCAGTGGTCTCCTAACTGGTTTTTCCACCTGCATCCCTTCCACATCCATTACCTACCCAACAGCCAGAATGATCATTTCAAAGTCATCTCACTTCTTTACTTGAAATCTTTCAAGGTACTGTATGTCACTCAAAGTAAAAGACATCTTTAAAATGCCAGCAAGGCCCTACAGTAACATTCTGTGGCCATTTCTGACCTCAATTTGTGCTACCCTTTTCCTTACTTTGCTCTAGCCAAACTGTCTACTGGATTCTTGATGCATTTCAAGCATGTTGCCACCTCAGGACATTTGCTCTGGCTGCTCCTCCTGCCTGGAATGCTTTTCCCTCAGACATCACTCTCTTTCTCTCTCTTCAGTTCTTCATACAAATGACACTCACATGAGACCTACTGTATTGATCTTATATAAAATGATATAGTCTTCCTACCCTCATCTTTCTCCTTATGTGAATTTTTTTTTCATTTCAAACCATTTATCTCCTCTAACAAAACTGTTCAACTTAACTATGTTTGTTATCTCTCTCCTTCTAGAAAAATTTAAGTCCCATGAAGTCAGGGATATTTCCTCTTCTGATCACTGCTGCATCCTTGGTGACTAAGACATGATCTGACATATTGTAAGCATTCAAGTAATGGTCTGCTGATTTATTGAATGAATAAGTCCAAGAACACAATGGTGTTTGAACCACAGGATGGCTGGAAGAACCCAGCCAACAACCTTGAACTGAACTGAATTAGTACCATGTTCCACAGTGATTGGTAATGATCTGCTCTTCAAACTTGCTTCCTATGCATCATAAAGGGAAAGAACAATTCCTTTTCCCACCACACACCCACATCACAGAGGAATGCTTCGAGAATTAATTAAATGGTAACATGGAGAAAGCATTTTGATTTTCTGGGAGAAAGCACTTTATTAATTTGAGGCTTTTGATTGTGTGAAAGAATCGTAAGTGACAAAGATGAGAACAATGTTAAAAGGGAGTAACCAAACTACCTTGGCTTTTCCCAGGATAATTGATTTAAAGGTGATATAAGCAGGATGAAGAATGAAATGTGGTTTTAGAATTCTTATCCCAAATGATAGATTTTTTTTAAGCAACACTTTCTTTTTCGAAGTTAACTTTCAATAATTCACAGTATGATATGTTCATTAATGAATTATTCTTCACATTTACAATACTTTTGTCCATTCTGTGTCCATTTTCCTGCTATTTAGAACTTCCATACCAGTGTAAGAGAGCTGGAAAAGAAAAATAAAATAAAAACTAAGATTTGTCCATCTGCATTTATTTCTTACTCTTTCCTGTTGAGGTGTTTGAATCTTGATTTAGAGCACTTCCAAAATACCCAATTTTGGGGGCGTGGGGATATAGCCCAATTGGTAGAATGCTTGCCTCACATGCTTAAGGTCCTGGGTTCAAAACCCCAGTACCACTATATTATATATATATATATATATACTTTTTTAAAATACCCAATAGTTAAGTGTGATACACTTCTCAAGTAGCTGGCAAATTAATCAAGTACATATTATGGGTAAGATTCTGAATAATGCTCAAGAAGGAGCACAAAGAGTTGCGACTTTGTTCCTGCCCTTTTGATGTGATGGAACACCACCAGAGAAGGTGTCAAAAGTTTGAGCATTAAAATCTAGGGAATATCATTGGGCAAATTATCTGACCACTCTAAGCCTGTTTCCTGAACTATAAAATATAAGTCAAATTATCTGCCTTGTTTTGCCTTGATATGCAAATTTTTTTATTCCAAGGTGTATTAGTCAGCTTTCTATCACTATAACAAATATCTGATCTAATCAACTTATAAAGAGAAAAAGTTTACTTGGGCTCACATTTTTGGAGGTTCCAGTCCATATTCGGTTGATACTATTGTTTTTAGGCCTGTAGTGGGACAGTACATCATAGCAGAACCATGTGGCAGTGCAAAACTTCTCACCCATGACCAGAAATTGAAAAAAAAAATTAAACAATAGGAGAGGGTCTTCAGTCCCACAATCTGCTTCAAAGAGACACTCTCAATGACTAAAGATCTCTCATTAGGACCCACCTCTTAAAGGTTTCACCACCTTCCAATAGCCCCACCCTGGGGACCAGGACCTTTGGGGGACACTCAAGATCAAAACTATAGCGTAAGGAAAATTAATTATTTGGAAAGACAGCCTGGCAGCCATCCTGTTGACCATATCAGGAGAAACAGTGGCTTAGAAATAGACCATTATTTCTGCTGGGCTGACCCTGGAAGCTGCAATATCTACAATAATTTAAAACAGGGCATCTAACAAGTAGAGTACTGTGTCCAGGGTATGGCAAAGGTGTGTTAAGTCAGTTTCTGTGACCAAAATAACTACTTAGATTAGGAAAAGCTTATCTTGGCTCATAGTTTGAGAGCTCTCAGTCCATAGGTGGCCAATTTCATAGCTTTGGGCCCAAGGCAAGGCAGCACATCATGAGGGAAGGGAAGGCAGAGGCAAGCTACTCAATTCAAGGTGGCTGGTAAGCAGAGAGAGAGGGTGGGGGCTGTACAGGAGGAGCCAGGGGCAAAATAAATATAATCTCCAAGGCACACCTCCAGTGATCCACTTCTACCCACCTCACCCCACCTGCCTACAGTGATCACCCAGTAATCCATTCAAATTATTAATCCATCAAATAGATTATTCCACTGAATAGGCTGTAGCTCTCAAAATCTAGTCATTTTACCTCCTGTATTAACACAGGAGCTTTGGAGGAACACCTCATATCCAAACCATAACAGAAGGTGAGGTGACTGGAACAGAATGACACAGCAAGATATGAGGTCATGTCCCTGCAGAACTAAGCATGATTAAAACAGAACACTCCTGTGCTCCCACCAGTCCGCACAGGAGACGGAAGCTCCATTACCTGGGTGATGGGGTCAGTGAGGTCATGACCCCCAATGGAAGCACAGAGCAATTTAGCTCCAATTTGATTTTCAAATTCTTAACCAATAGGGACAACCTGTAGCTTAGAAATGATTTTTTAAAAAAACATAATAATAAAAATGAAAGGATGAACCCTTAAATTACAAATGAAAAACTGGGTTTTGATGAAGTGAATTCACTTCTCAAGTTCACATACCTAGGACAGTTAGAGCCAGAACTTAACACACACCCCCCCACCCCGTCTTTAGATTCTAAAACTGGTGTTTCCCACAGTGTGTGACCCAGGATAAGGAAGAAATGATTTAAAAAGGCACTTGATGGTATCCTTTCAAGTCAGAAAAGTCCCCAACCATTGTAACTGAGAGAATTTGAAAGTGAAATTCTCAGCAAATTTTCAAAGTAGGATGAGGTCCTACCATTAGGATATCCCCATAAGCTTTCGTGTTAAAGGCCTGTACCCCAGACCATGGTGCTCTTGGGAAATGAGAAAATATTAAGATACGGGGCCCAGTGGAAGGTCTTCTCGTCATTGGGGACATACCCATGAAGGGAATAATAAGACTCCAGCCCCTTCTTCTTTTTCACATTCTGGCCAAGAGGTGAATGACTTTGCTATGCCATGTTTTTCCATCATGTTCTACCCACCTCCAAAGGCCTAAAAGCAATAAGACTGACAAACCATGAACCGGACAAAATTGGGAGTCCAAATAAACCTTTTTCTCTTTTTAATGTTGTTTTCTCAGGTATTTCTTATAACAACAGAAAGTTGACTAACACATGGAGAAAGGAAGATAATAAATTGAAGCCAATTTGCCTGAAATGAGGGAGAACATGGATGCACAAACTGAATTGGTATCCAGAGCCCATCCACAGGAAATTTCATAATAAAAGTCAACAGGCTTATTTAGGCTCTCCTACTGAATACCAAGCATCATGGTAGTTTCGGAGGATCAAAGAACCTTTCCCATGGCAAAACATAGTAGAAGAGGCAGACATGTAAATCTCTGTAGTACAAAATGTTAAGGGCAGGTACTTTTGAAGGGTTAGGAAAACATGGAGATGAGAGTCAAGTGCATTTTCCATGAAAAAGGTGATATTTAAAATGGGTCTTTAAAATGAGTGAGGAATCTTCCAGATGGACAAAGATGAAGAGCACAGCAGTATTTCAGGTAGATAAGAGAATATATTCCAAATTACAAATAAAGGTGAAGTTTGATGGATGGCAAAAGTTTGGTATGGCTGGGGTGAACTTGACAGAAATTAAGTTGGTCTATAAGTTGCAGACAGATTGTGAAAAACCTACAGTCATGCTGGCAAGTCCAGGCCTTAATCAAATGGCAAAGGAAATAGTCTTGAACACTTAACGGGAAATGTGAGTCCACCACCCACACACATCATGGCAGATGAGCCTCATTTCCTCTTTCAATCCGATCTCTAGCCTGGTAAATGAGGGCTATGTTAAAGCAATATGCTATTCAGCAAAGCTTTTCACAGGTTCTTTGTGTTTGTTCGGCAAACATAAGGGTAAAATGGGGACTCAAATAGCAGTTTATTGGACTGGAAACAGGCTGAAAAAGGCAGACAAAAAGAGTTCTGATTAATTTACCAGGACACAGTAGACATGAAGATTCAATGGAGAAGATTCAGAGTTTTGTCTTCAGACTTTTCCTGTTCTAACTGGGCCTCGGCACAGGAACTCAGAGAAGGGAGCAGAGAGCCCACCTATCGAATTCTTAAATGGCACAAAGCCATGAGAAGTAACTAATATGCTAGGTAATGACATGATGACCCATGAAGACCTGGGATGAGGCATTTCAGATGAAGTTTAGAAAGGACATTGATTAAAACTCATGTTACATGGGTAAAATGGCCTCAGTGTGGGTGTCCCCTCAGAATTCATACATTGAAGTCCTAACCCCCAAAATAATGGTATTAGGAGAAGACACCTTTGGTGCCTGATTAGGTAATGCGTGTGGAGGCCTCTCAAACAGAATTAGTGTCTTTATAAAAGAGGCTCAAAAGGCCTAAGAGAGCGTCATCTTGTTCCTCCCTTATGCCATGTGAAATTACATGGCAAGGCTGCAATCTATGAGAAAGCTGGCTCTCACCAGACACTGAATTTGCCAGAGCTTGATCTTGGACTTCTATTCTTCAGAACAATGAGAAATAAATATTTGTTGTTTCTAGGCTACCCAGTTTTATGGTATTTTTGTTATAGCAGCCAGAATAGACTAAGACAATGGGAAAGGGTTGGATTAGCACTAAGTATAAGATGGACAAGATATGATTAAACATTAGTTCAGTGAAAAAGACCCTTGGTTTTCATTGTTTGCAATTGAAAGCAAATTCAACATTGTTTTAAAAAAAAAAGAGGATAAATCTGCCCCCCCAAAAAGATTAATGTAATCTCAAACTAGAGATCACATGACTAGAAAAGCAGCGGTGGGTAAGATAAGACCATAGAATGGGGTTATTAGAAACTGGGCCCATCACAACACTGTTCTGTGTAGATACAGGTAGAATTTTATGGATGTCAAGTGCCAAGGACATAACCTTCCAGAATCAACTTTTCATTCATATTCTTCCTCCACCTCTCTGATAAGAAATCCACAAGCAGAAGGATTTTGTCCTGTCTTTACTACTTATGTAGTAAAGTCCACCCAGTGCCCACACCCATGCCAAGGTAGTAAAGTCCACCCAGTGCCCACACCCATGCCAAGCACACAGCAGGAGCAAGGTAAGTGTTCACTGAAGGAGCGAATAATGAACCAGGAGGAAAGCAACAAGGTGCAGGTGCTCAAAGGCACTGGACAACTGGAAGAAACGAGATATATTGTTCATGAAAGACAAGGTCTCAGAGATTTTCAACAATTATCTTAAAATATTAAAAGACTCTTAGGTAGGAAAAGAATCATACATAATCTTTTAAGTCCCAGAGGTCATATTTAAATCTAATTGGTAGAAGTTTCAGGGAGACAGTTTTTAGTTCAGTACAAGGAAGTATTTTCTAATAATTAGGGCTGTTCTAAAAGGCCTTAATGAGGAAATTTTACAGCATCGTTGAAGGCGTCTGAGGAGAGCTGAATGGCCCAGGTTGGAAAGGCTGCTGAGGAGTCATTGCTACACTAAGGATGCTGGCTTTAGTGACCACAGAAGTTACTTCCAGTTCTCATGTTATCTAACTACAAAATGAGATGACCTGGGAAGAAGTGACTTGAAGACTAATACTCCTATTCCCTCATAAAGACTTAAAATGATTTTAATCTAAATTGGTATCTCATTGATGTGAAGGATGACAGATGAGTGATAACCATGATAAATTCTCTCACTCAGTTCTCTTTAGGCAGTAGTGATCTACCAGGAAA